GGCCATTTAAGGCCTATAACGTTTTTATAATTGGCATAAACAATTTCTCCTGACTATTAAATATGACCTTAAGTTATATAAATTAGTGATGGTTACCTTCCTAAACCTAATATAAAACTAAAAATGTTACTTGGGAATTTAAACAGAATTTAGCATTATTAAAAGCGTTGATTAAGAAAGTCTCCACTCAACGGTAAAATACCATATGGTTTAATATACAGGGTGGCCGATTTATCTGAAGACATTGAAATATTTCGAAAACTACGCATCGGATCAAAAAGTTTTGAATAAAATTTGTTCGCCTGGAAGGGGGACATCCAATGATACCAAAGTCGACCCCTCACCACCACCCCATGGGGTGGGGGTGGGGGCAACTTTAATATTCTAAATAGGAACCCCCATTTTTTATTGCAGATTCGGATTTACTATTAAAAAATAAGTAACTTTTATGGAAAAACTTTTTTTAAATTCCTGATAGATGGCGCTGTAATCGCAAGAAACCCGATTTTTGGGAATATCTTAAAAAATTACACATCGGATCGAAAAAAAGAAAAACTTGTTTAATTTTTGGATTTTATTCGTATATCAATAAGTTAACATCTATTTTTAAAATTACCCAAGAATGGGAAATCCGAATCTGCAATTTTTCAAGATATTCCCAAAAATCGCGATTACAGCGCCATCTATCAGGAATTTAAAAAAAGTTTTTCCATAAAAGTTACTTATTTTTTAATAGTAAATCCGAATCTGCAATAAAAAATGGGGGTTCCTATTTAGAATATTAAAGTTGCCCCCACCCCCACCCCATGGGGTGGTGGGGAGGGGTCGACTTTGGTATCATTGGATGTCCCCCTTCCAGGCGAACAAATTTTATTCAAAACTTTTTTTGATCCGATGCATAGTTTTCGAAATATTTCAATGTCTTCAGATAAATCGGCCACCCTGTATATATTATGTATTATATATGTTACAGCTAATATGCAAACTTGGATAGTTTATAAACTAGCTGGATAGTTTATAAACTAGCCAAACTGTCAGCTATTTTAATTGAAAATGTATTTTCAACTAAATTAGCGGCTAGTTTACAAAATAACCAAGGATCTTGGCTAATTTACTTGAAATTATTAGTGAAACTAAAATAGCTGGATAGTTTGTATACTATCCAATTCAATTTGGCTAATATTAAAACCAAAATTTCTAGTAACACAAAATAGCCAAGCTTTAGCTAGTTTGTAAACTAACCAACTAATTCTCTGGCTATTGCCCATTTTAGTTGGGTTTTTTTTGCTTGTCGGTAGGGTTGTGTTGTTGAGTTTTCTAACAAGGAAGCGTTAAAATTTTGCCTATGATACATTTTAAAAACGTTAAAATGCACAAATCCGGTTAAGCCGGCAAAACGAAAAACAATGCCGTAACCTCACTTTTTTAATAAATTAGCCAGAGAATTGGTTGGTTAGTTTACAAACTAGCTAAAGCTTGGCTATTTTGTGTTACTAGAAATTTTGGTTTTCATATTAGCCAAACTGAATTGGATAGTATACAAACTATCCAGCTATTTTAGTTTCCCTAATAATTTCAAGTAAATTAGCCAAGATCCTTGGTTATTTTGTAAACTAGCCGCTAATTTAGTTGAAAATATGTTTTCAATTAAAATAGCTGACAGTTTGGCTAGTTTATAAACTATTCAGCTAGTTTATAAACTATCCAAGTTTGCACATTAGCTATAACATATATAATATTATGTTGCCATGAATTCGTAGGTATATTTTGTTGTTTAAAAGCAGGTGTCGGCGTTTTTTAGAGAACTCAAATATAAAAATGGTTGTTATGTTTGTGCAAAAAATATTTTTTACTAATTTCTTAAAAATGTCCAAACTTAAATATAAATCCTATTAGGTAAAGTTATCATTAGTTAATTCTACACCAACAAATGTACCGAATTGGATCCTTTGGCAAAACATGAAAATGCAACGATTTAGTTCTTGAATTTTATTTACAATTAAAAACACAATAATTCACCATGATCCCTTAGATAAAATACACACACTAACGTAATAAGCATTTAAGAGTTGAGTTTCTTAATCAATTATATATGGAATAATCAATCGAAATCGAATACTAAAAAAGTTTTTTAATTTTTTCCTTGCAACGTAAAACACAAATAACGTGCGCGATTTAGCTGTGTTGAACAAAATTTGTCAAGACTTCTGCCTTCCTCTCTTTTGTGAAAAAACTACCTATTTATTTAAAAATGATGTATAATCTGTGCTTTAAATGTATTTTTGACAATTCTTAAATTCACGTAATGCTCTCGAAGTTCACCAGATGGCGCGCGCGATGCGAAAACCCTATACTTCTTTAGCGTATACGTCAGATTTTATTAATTATCAAATTGTTTCCTTTAATTCGAGAAATAATCTAGACGTAAACCATTCAAACTATAAATTTAATCTGTCAAACTATGCTCAGTAAGTTTTTTATTTGATTTTTCTTTTTGGAAAATAGTTCATGCAAAATAATTAAAAATAAAACCCCTCGACCGCGGTCGACCGCTACGCGGTCTTGTGGTTTTATTAAATTATTTTGCATTCAACATTTTCCAAGAAGAAGCAAACAAAAAAGTACTGAGCCTAGTTTAACCGATTAAATTCATAGTTCTCGTGATATAATATATCATTAAAATTACCTTAATACCTACATCTACAGTGTGGATTGTACACGTATAGTGACTAATGTCGGAAATTTAATTTGTCGGGATTCTAACCTGACCGGCATCCGAATAGTATACTACTAATTTGTAACGAACGGGGCAAGGGGGGCACACATTAATAATTAAAAAGAATATTAAAACCACAGAAAAACTACCTTTGGCCAAAACACGAGATCGTCTAGTTTAAAGAAATTAAGTTAGGACCCCTTTTTGTTGTGAATACGGTTCTGGATACGTAAGTACTTGAGCAATTGAAAAGATATTTAAAAAGCAAAGAAAAAGTATTAAATTAAAATAAGTTTATTAATAAAGGCAATTAATACAAGAGTTAATTATTGTTACTGTACATTAATAATATAAATAAAAACATTTGTATTTGAAAAGTATGATTAATTTAAGTTAATAAGGTAAAACCTTAGAAACCCACATATACAATAGGTACATACATAATATAACAATATAAATAATACAACAAAATCAAAGTAATCAATATGAATATAATCAATTATATTATCATATTGCTAAGATTATTCACCTACATAAATGGTAGGCTCGGACGGTGTAGAAAAGCAAATACACATTGAAACAATTATCAATGTACAGCAACAAACAACAGTGTGAAACATAAAGTATAATATAACTTAGGTCACAAGCAACAATAATAAATGGTATTCGTATAAATAAAATATATAAATAACAAGTGGTATAGTGGTGGACAAGAGTTATGCAATAAAATTGATGTACAGTCATAAATAATAAATACAATCAGGTATGATAAAGTAATAAAATTATGTCAGTGCAAATCAAATATAGTAAAATAAAATGATTATCAATATTAATAAAATAAGACAATGTCATAAAAACTCACATCATGGGCCCTACCTAGCATTTATTGTAAAGATGGGTGAATTGATAATTACAAGTCTCCAGGCTCGACCCCTTCGACCGTTACCAACACCAATAAAAGAAAATTCTAACAAGTGTTTGGTGTGGCGCAATTGCAACAAAGCCTCAACATATTAAATAATGAATATCAATTTATCAAATAAATAACATAAGATAAACTGTACAAAATAACGTATATAAATGTTAAATATAAATATGTAGTAAAATGTAAAATTACATTACAATATAATTTGTTAAAGTAAATGTAATATAAATATAATAATTATAAACATAAAATAATGATTATAATAAATTTGTAATTTGGTTTGTCCAACAAAAACCTTTAAGATAAAATAATTCAACTTATTATTTCTCTCACAAAAAACAAGTTGAAATAATAATAATAAAATATAGTTTAAATTAAATATTAAATAATTAATCACTCATTATGATATTTGTGACCTCAGATTATAATAACTAAATATAGAAAAGACATACCTATTTAAATGAACAACACTTTCACAAAAAACTGAATTTATATAAAAAACAATGTAATATTAAATTTTGTTAAATTCACTATTCACTAAATTACTATTATAGTGTATAGTATAGTTGACAAGATGAGCTTATAAAACTAACCCAATTTTTAACACAAGTTTACCTAAAAATTGTCTTGTCACATAATATGTGATTTTGAGTTATTGACGAAAAACTAGTTAAATGAAATATAATGGCTTTAAGCTCCTCCCTCAAGGGCTTACCAAGGGATGATCTTTTTTAATATCGTCAGTAAGGCTACTGCAGCCACTCTAGGAAGGAATATTGTAAAATATTTAAGCTACCATTTAAGTCATTGTATTATTCAGCCGTTAACTGAATAAAGATTTAAGTTTACATACTTCGTGTTCAATTCCTTTCTATAGTATACTAAGCATCACAAAACAAACAACTTTACATTGGTCCTTCGAGAGGGGTAATACATACACAACGAGTCCTAAGTGCAGCACACATTCATTTCGTATCATACGTGGAATACATCATACACATCGAGTGCTAAGTGCAGCGTACATTAATTTCGTAACTTATGTGGAATACATCATACACATCGAGTGCTAAGTGCAGCGTACATTCATTTTATATCATACGTGAAAAACATCATACACATCGAGAGCCAAGTGCAGCGTACATTTATTTCATTTCATTTGTGAAATACATCACTCATCATCAAGTGCTAAGTGTAGTGTCCATCCATTACAAATCATATCGTTACGTCCGAAGTGCATCTACACATACGCATTGAAATAAAACATCATCGCTTTATAGGATATGCCATACGAGTCAGAAAGTAAGTACCTTACTAGGACCTAATCCTGTTAACCATTGAAAAAAGTGAAAAAATGTATTTTAAAAAGTGGACTTAATACAGTCTGGCTCTGTGGTACAGATGTACACTTTAGGGCCGGCTAAAACCAACTCATGGTACTACCAACTCATCAAAGTTAAAATTTGAAACAAAATATAATTAAAATTGCGCGTGAAGGCCCTGATAAACTTGAATTGAAGTGTTTTATCAAATGTACTAAAACCTATAAAATAGGATATCGCTATCTGATCCACTATTACTTTAATTGATTTTCAATTAAGATGATCAAAGATCTTTTTCTTTTTGTTTGTGCATTTGCTGTTGTTAATTCAGCTGATTGGTGGGAAAAATCCACATTATACCAAATTTTTCCAAGAACATTTAAAGATGCCGACAATGATGGACTAGGCGATCTCAAAGGTAAATTCAACACATTTTTTAACAGAATTTAGTTCTTTCCTAGTTGTGTGCATAACAATATTAAAAATAATATTTTATTTTATTTCAGGCATTACTTCCAAATTAGAATACTTGAAAGAAATTGGTTTGACAGCGGCTTGGTTGTCCCCAATTTTCAAATCACCACAAATCGACGCAGGTTATGACGTCAGCGACTATATGGACATAGATCCTGACTACGGAACCCTTGAGGATCTCAAAGAACTTATCACAAAAGCCAAAGAGTTGGAAATTAAAATTATTTTGGACTTCGTACCAAACCACACCAGCGATAAACATGAATGGTTCATCAAGTCTGTAAACGGAGATCAGGAATATGCAGATTTTTATATCTGGAGGGAAGGAAAGAATAACAATACTGAACCGCCAAGTAACTGGGTATGTAGGTCTCAAAACTTTGTCAATATATATATAGATATTCACGCGCCTTATTGATAAAAAGCTTTTTACTATAACCGTAATAGTAATTTACGTGTCAAGATTTGTAAATTAATCTTTACGGGCGAGCTGGAAGTAATCCAGTGAGCCTGGTAAAGATTGCAAGGCGTGACACGTTCAAACTTTTAGATAACGATTTTCAAATTTAAAATTTTAATTAATATGTCAAATGAGACAATTCATTTCTTAAATTGCTTTTCTACAAACCTGTAAAACTTAGAGGTCTTTTATACAAGCCCGTAAAATATTACAGGTCTGTTCCCATAATGTATCGTTTACTTGGATACAAAAACAACAAAATTAACTTGTAAAATGTCATTTACTAAGAAGGTGGAAATAAAATAATATAAAATCCAGTATACCTACCGTAAAATTACATTTAATATGAAATAAAAATTTTTTATGTTAATATAAAAACAACTATGTTTGAAGGTTTCGTAATTTGCTGGGCACGAGCACTAATAAAAGTATTCGTAAAATTATAAGTGCAAGTACTTACAATATTTACTCGTAAGTACTTTACTCGTAAGTACATAGTAAAGAGACGTTACGGTTACCTACGAGTAGTATCTAATCGTGAAAATACGAGTAAAGAGTAGGAGTACTTAAAAAAAATGTAAAAAATGTAATTGACAATTCCACTCCTGTCAATTTAAACCTATTAAAATGTAAAAAATACGGTTTGCTGACGAATAAAAAGGGAGAAACAGAAATGCAAGGTACCAAAATTTTGCGACATTCTTTCTATTCACATTTTCCATATTAACAGATGTATTATTGTATAGAGAAATGCCAAAGTGACACAAAAATGACTTAAAGAAATTTTCTCAACAAATACCACAGCTCTGGATTTAATACTTACATTCTAAAGAAGTCACTGTGTGGCGAAACAATTTTCAAAATTTAAAAATACTTGAATCACTTGAAACTTGTTTTTATATTTACATAATATTAATATGAAATTTAGGTAGATTTCAAAACCATTAATTAAGTAATTTTATCTTTTATAGAGGTCAAAACCATCAATTAAGTAAATTTATCTTTTATAAAATTATTTTGTCTACAAAATTGTTCTGGGACAAATTAGCACAAAATATTATTAGCAAGCCAAATAACTATTTATGGTAAATATACTATTTTTTTTAAGAGTATAATAATTATTACAACACTTATAAGTAGGGATGGGATATTTAGGTACTAAAAACTGAAAAATAGGTAACTAAAAAGGTACTAAAAAAAAAGCATTTTAGGTTAAAAAAACAGCATTTTAGGTAAAAAAAAATCATTAAAAGTTTAAGTTTCGTTTATAATTTTGTTTAGCCGCATACCCAAACACAGAACATACCTACCCACAATCAGAGCTGCAAGCTCTCAGAAAACTTAAATCGTTTTTTGATTTAAATCGTTTTAATGACTTAAGTCATTTGGTAATAAGTCATTTCTCTAAACCTGACTTAAGACTTAAAATTTAAGTAATTTTCAAAATGATTTGTGACTTAAATATTTTTTCAAAATAGAAAAAACTTAAGTCATTAATAAAAGGCTTAAATCAGTACATACGATTTAAGTCAGATAGAAACGATTTAAGTCAAAAAAAGAATTAAGTCTTTTTAAAAGTCGGTAAATTATTTAAGTAATTTAAAAAGATTTAAGTCTTTTTAAAAAAGATTTAAGTCTTTTTAGAAAATATTTAAGTCAGATTTTTCATATATTTTTTGTAAATTTTTAACAGCGGCATTTTCTTTTGAACTGCCAGGGGTTCACGCGGCAGCAGATCAAAAACTCCTTTAATTTCCTACCTACAATTGCTACCGCTAGTAAATAAAAAAACCGCCGCGGTAAAGTTAGCTTTTCGAAACCGTTTGACGGCTACATTAAAAAGTGTCCTGTCTAAAATGAATGAAAAAAAAAGTGGGAATTTATAATTTTGTTATTTTGTTTGCTAACATTCGTCGTATTATGCGTGCAGTTAGGTCTAATTTGTGATTATTAGTGCAAAGTGGAAACAAACGATTAACAGGTAAGGACGAATAAATATTATAAAGAAGTGTTTATATCATACAGGGTGTTTCGGTTTGTTTAAGTAAATAATTACGACAGAAAAACGTGATTGTGCGTGAATAAAATTATTCAAACGTGATTGTGCGTGAACGTGAGTAGTCTTAAATTATTACAGTCGTGAGTGGTCGTAAATCGTGAACAATCGTGAATCGGGAGTAGTCGGGAGCGGTAGTGAGCAGTCGTAAATCTTGAGCGGTCGTGAATGGAGAGTTTGGAACCTCCCATCATTACTCCCTTAAGGGAGGAATATTTTTTTTTCTAGATGGATGTTGAACCAGCTACAAAAGTTAACAAAACAACAAGTTATCAGATTTTGAACTACAGCGATTTTAAGAAAAATGCTTCAACTTTTATCTATTTTAACAGAGTTTGAATCTATTATCGTTTAAAAGTTACCCATTTATGTATATAAAAAAGTACCCTCCCTGTATGTCTACTCTACTAAAAAATGTGTTTTAAGTTTTTATTTTGTTTGTAAGTGAAAATAAATCGTTTTAAATTCTTAACTTGGTGGTTTATTATCATCTGTATTCACAATAGATTAATAATATCAGTATCATTAATACCATAAAATTATTATTAACATTTAAAAATCGTTGTATTGACTTAAGGGTAATTATTTTGATTTAAATGACAATTTTTGATTCAAGTCATTTTATTGACTTAACTCTTAGATCATGATTTAAATAAAAAATATAGACTTAAGTCATAAAAACGACTTACTAAAGGAATTAAGTCATAAGATGACTTAAATCACTTTATATTGATTTAAGAATTTGCGAAAATGACTTGACTTGAAAGAAAATGATTTAATTCAAAGACTTAATACTTAAATCATTTGAACTTTTACTTGGAATTGACTTAAGATTTAAATCATTTTGATTTTAGAATTGACTTAAGACTTAAGATTTAAGTCTTTTTAAAACTGACTTGTTGCAGCTCTGCCCACAATAAACTTTTTCTATGCAATAAACTGTGTTTTACTGAGTGACACTCACTACACAGAAGTTCTATGACAGAACATAAGCTCACTAGTAGTGAGTAACTACAAAGAAGGTAACTGTAAAGAAAGTTACTGTTAAAGTCTGTAACCATAAGAAAAAATTCTATACCGTTGAGTTGCACGCCCTGGATAAAATATTGGCGCAAATTTTAAAAAGAACAAAAAAAATAAAATAAGTAAAAATATCTTAAAATAGGTAACAAATATGTGAAAATAAACTGACAAATTAAAAAATATGTAACAAAAGTATAAAAAAGTAGTTTAAAGCAAAAACCTCCAAAAAAGGCGAAAAAAAGTTTAAAAAAATAGGTAACAAAAGTATAAAAAAGGTAGTTAAAAGCAAAAACCTCCAAAAAAGGTAAAAAAGGTGAAAACAAGTTAGGTTCATATAAAAGAAAATCTTTTAAAACACATTTTGGCATTATTGGTTTTCAAATAGTTACATCGGTTAAAAAAAGGTATACCCTTTTAGTTATTTTATAAAATAACTAAAATCCCATCCCTACTTATAAGTCTATACTACTCGTTCAAAAGTATATTTATAATTATTATAAAACTCCTTAAAAAGAATAAAGCTGATGTGGCAGAATTTTTAAAAAATATTAAAATTTCTAATATTCTATTGCTTAAAAAAAATAGTATATATAAAATCCGGCGGCAAAAGCTTATTCTGGCACAAAATCTACTAAATATAAGCCCGGCAATGGGGATTTATGGGGAGGGGGTAAAAAAAAAATTACATTTTGTGTGAAAAAATTATTTTAAAACCAAACCAAAATAACAGATTAACAGTATTTATCACACTGTCTATGTCAATATTAGTATCCCTATTGTGCATAAGCAATTAACCAGAATTGGCTCAATTTCAAGGAATTTTTTTTATATTCTAGTAAAAATCCTCACTACAATGAACGTACAGAGAAAGGCATGATTGAGTTTTACAGACACAATAATTTTGCCACAAATCCATTTCCAATTTTATTTGTATGTAAATTATTGCTTTATAGTAATCTTTGAATCTCAGAGATACTAGATATTCCGCAAATTTTTTTATAGATGTGTTTAGTTTATCACGATTTAGTTTAAAAAATATTGGTGGTAAGACATTTAAATTCAAAAAAAAAAAAGTTTATTTTATCAATAATAAGATATAAAATGGGAATATAATCTAAATAGTAATTCTAAAATAATCTTTTGGACCATAGCTACTTACTTTTAAATTTTAAATTAAAAGTTTTAATTGTTCATGTAGTGAATACACTTGTGTATAGATAGCATCAAATCTTTCTTCTACATTTTTCGTTTAATTTACAATAACTCTAAATCTTAATATTTATACATATGTATATCATATTCATTGCAGTGACTTTATCTATTAAAGTGGTTTGTTTGATACTTTGCTTAAATTTGCGGTACTTGTGAGAAAATATACTATAAATTGTGAATTAAGTATAGAAATCTATTGACCTTCTTCTTTTAGTTGATGAATCAGTTTTGCCAAGTAAAAATTTTAATAAGATAAGTAACAATTGACTCCAAAGATTAACAAAATCTGAAGATCGACTCATGGCGCTTCACCAAACTCGCAGTTTTATTAAATTTGATTTTTTAAAACAGTAATTCCTTTAGAAGATTAACTAAAAAATAAAATTACTAATTTTATTGTACCAACACTTTGTACTTTGATTTAAGGGGATAAATTTAGAGCAGATTTTTTTTTATTCTACCACAGCTTTTTTTTACTCTCCAAGCATAACACTACAACTGTACCAATGCCTACATATTTTTTTAGATTAAATGGATGTTTTTTTAATACTAAAACTTCAAGAACTAACCTTTAAAAATTCACAAACAACACAATAACATCTAGTTTTACCCAAACAACAATTATACAGTATTAGTTGTTTTTCTAAAAAAAGCTACCTCTGGTACCTACATACATTTCGCCGTAACCCTCTTAAAACTTTTAATTAAAGTACAGAAACATTAGAATATATTTTAGTTTTTTGTTTTTCCAAGATCAAATTTCCAAGATAAATATTTCCAAGATCAAATTAAGAATACTGTTGATTGGGGGGTAATTACTATAATATGTGCTTTCTCTGCCTGTTCTATAATGTACTGTTTTGTTAGAGAAAAAAGTAATTTTATTATTCACCTAAAATACAAAACTTTATTTATTTATAACTTTAATAATTATTTTATAGAGGAGTTATTACAAAGGATCTGCTTGGAAATACAACGAAAAAAGAGGTTTATGGTATTACCATTTGTTTACTGAAGGACAACCCGATCTTAACTTTCGCAATCCTAAAGTTATTGAAGCTTTAAATGTGGGTAATTCTTAATAATATTATTAAAATAAATAAAATGATTATATTTATTTACAGAATGTCATGAATTACTGGCTTGATTTTGGTATTGATGGGTTTGTAGTGGACGCTGTCCCATATTTACTTGAAGAAAAAAATTTTACCGACGAACCACGTAGTTATAATCCATCGATGGGTCCTAATGACTGGGATTATTTGGAACACATTTACACCAAAGATCTTGATGAAACATTTGACGTAATATACCAATGGAGAGAAGTCATAGACAAATACAACAATAAACACGGTGGAGACTCAAGAATTATGCTGACAGTAGCTAACTCAACTTTTAACAACACACTACGTTACTACGGTTCTCCTGACGGTAAAAAATTGGGTGCTCACTTTACTTTTAACTTCGATTTTGTTGGTCTTAATCAGGATACCACAGCCGTCAATATTAAGAGCACTATCGACCAATGGCTTAATAATTTGCCTCAGCAATTCACTCACAATTGGGTCACTGGCAATCACGATAACCCAAGAATTGCCACCCGTTTGGGAAAAGACAATGTTGACGCTATCAATATGCTCCAAGCCATTCTGCCTGGTATCATGGTGAATTACAACGGCGAAGAGTACGGCATGGAAAACGGACCCGTGACATGCAAACAAGGACACGATCCTCAAACCAACAGAAACTGCAGTATCTACGACTCCATCACCAGAGACTTTGAAAGAACCCCAATGCAATGGGACAATTCCTTAAACGCTGGTTTTAACGAAGGTGCTGAACCTTGGTTACCAGTAAGTCCAAAATACATCGAAAACAACATTAAAGACCAAAGCCAACCTGGCGTAGTTAGTCATTTAAATATTTACAAGAGCTTGCAGGAAATGCGTAAAAAAATTCCTGCCGATGCTGTAATCGGCACGACTGTTATTAATAATACTGTTTTGGGTATTAGCCGGCTTGTGCACAATGGGTATTACCTTTTGTTGTACAACAGACTTGGTGCCCCAACTGAAGTTAAAATTAATGGAGAAAGTAGAGTTGTTGTTAGCAGTTCAAATTCTGATAAAATTGCAGGGTAAGGAAACATGTTTAATAAGAAATTAATATAACAATTAAATTATTATTTATTTTTAAGCATCGTTATTCCTGAGAAGATTCTATTGGGAATCAATGAATGTATTATTGTGTGGCAAGGAATCCCAGCTTAAGAAATAAAGCAAAACTATAATGGAGCTGACAAATTTACAGCAAAAATAATTTTATTTAAGTATGTTATACAAAATAATAAGTAACAATACAAAATAATATGAAAAGTACTCTATTTAAATCCAACCCTTAAACAAATCCAGATCTATTATAACTTTTATATTTAGTTGTTTAAAAAATTACTCTTTAGTTATGCCACAGGAAACAAACCCTATAATAAAAAGAGTTACATGTAGTTATTAGTTTCATGAGGACCTTTTTAAATAATTTTTAAACAATTATAATGAGAAACGATATAGGTAATAATAATATTATTAAAATATAAATATATTTATAATTAAAATATTAAAATTAATATGAAACTCTAGAAGATTCTTTAATAATATTTATGATAAATGCCTGTGTTGCCGCTTCATTGTTAGTGAAAAATACACGAAAACCCAGACTTTTGTATCTACAGGGTCATATTCAGGGGCGTAGCTACCACGGTATCAGCCGTATCAATGATACGGGGCCCCCGGCTAGGGGGGCCCCCGATTGGCTTCGACATGTGTAAGCAATAAACATATTACCCACATGTTAAAAAAAATAAGGTATGAAATTAAATAAATAAATAATATTACTTAATAGTTTATAATTCGATTTATTAAATTAAAATTTTCCTGAATACCCTCGTGTTCCAACGAGGCCGTAAACTCAAACGAATTGTTTCTGTCCGCACATTTCCGCTATAGCAGGTAGGTAGCACACTGACGTCTGCTGACGTTTATATGACGTTGAAATGACGTTTCTAACGTCATTTAAACGTCAGAAGACGTTATATAAACGTCAGCAAACGTCAGTGTGCTACCTGGGCTGCGCCGCATATTGAGTCTGCTTTGCGTGTTATTTGTCTAAAACCAGAACAAATTTTATAATTTGCCTGTACAGGGTCGCCCCATTTTAACTTTTTTATTTTAAGTGTCCCAAAAAATTTAAAAGTGTCGTTATTTAGGTACTGAAAAATACTTTTTTTCTACGTATACAAAAATTGGAAAATTGATCAGTATACAGGGAAAAATATATATTATACGTTTCAACATTAATAAAAAAGAAATGCTAAAAAAGGACCAGTGATTGTTTATAAAAAAAAAGTTGTACCTAGTATGCAGGCGAAATAAATCTTAAATAACTATTTTTACTTGTTAAATCAATGGGAAAATTTTAAATTTGATGATGGACCTTTTAAAATTAATATTACAGACTGGACTCTGTAAGATTTTTTGTAGATAATTTAATGCTAAAAAGAGGACCAGTGATTGTTTATCAAAAAAAAAAGAGTTCTACATAGCATGAAGGCGAAATAAATCTTAAAAACTATTTTTCCATGTTAAATCAATGGGAAAACTTTAAATTCGATGATGGACCTTTTAAAATTAATATTAAGAGCTCAAATTTTGACACAATTTTTTTTTAGCATATGTAACGAAAATTTCATATGAATTTGAAAAAATAAAAATATTGCCTTATTTTGAAACACCCTAATGTATAGGTATAGTATTAAATATTATTTTATTAACTTAAATTGGTAAAACAAAAGAATGATACCCTAAAAAAAATTTTTGTTTGCCCAAAATAGACTTTGGGCGTGACACCCAGAAATTTTTTTGCCAGCAGCTTTTCCCGTATAAGGGCCCCTACCAGATTTTTGATACGGGGCCCCCTCGAGGCTAGCTACTGGTCATATTATATATGTTATCGGTTGATATTGATCAATTATTTTTATATCTTAAATTTCATGATGAATAGCGTACAAATCATTTGTAAAAAAAATTTTAATGCATCTTTGTAAATTTGATATTCTTAAAAAGATAACTTTAACGAAAAATCATCTAAATCTTAATCATTTCTAAATACCTAAGGTACATTTACAAGTTGTGGCTTTATGGCGCTTTAGTCACGGGCTGAAGTTAGAAACAGGTTTTTAGTCACGGGCTGAAGTGAGTTTTAAGTTAGTTGACATGTGTCATACAATCGTTAAAATACAGTGCCTTTCTTGTAAAATAATACTAAATGTGAAAATTATTTTATTATCTCAATACAAAAATACAAAATTAATTAATAGTTTCTCAATGCCAATATTTGAAAAGTTTATCTGAACATTGTACTGAACTTTTAATTTCGCCGGCAGTAAACTATAACTTAAATTCGGGCACGGACTCCACTGTAAAAGTCCTCATAAAACATTTTCTTTACTTTCACTGTGAAAAACTGTAAATTTTCAAGAAATACATTTAGATTTATAACCTTTATAATCTGTGTTTATAAAATTTAAAAATGTGACATTTGACGGAGACACACAGATTCCCCTATTGTTTCATAGATGACGGTCTATACAAATTTTTGATTTAAATCATTTTAAGATAAACCAAGTGGAAGAACAGATGTTTTCTTTTAAACACGCTGAACTTCGCCGTTTGAAAATGTAAAATGTTTCAATAAAGACTAATATTATTATTATTATTATTATAATAATAAGTATTTGTCGTAGAAAAAGTATAGTATGCACCTTATAAACTTTTCTATACACTCATTAATTTAATTTAATTAACTTCGTGTATAAAATGGCGTTTATCAAACTTGATACATAATATACTATACTGCAATCAATAAGATGTTAATATAGCCTTAAAATATTAATGTCAAATATTTTATTTCATAAATGTTTAATTAAATAAAATTTGTTTAAATTATATATTTGCAACTAAGCAAATATGATATTGATATATCATATATGTACAAAAATTAAATAAGGTTTAAAAAAATATAATTAATTGTTTTAATAATAAAGTTTATTATAAAAACAATCAATTGTTCAATATGTTGTATACCTAATTTAATTTTTGTTCATTTACATATCAATACTATTAAATAAACTATTATAAAGAGGATTTAAATATTTCGTTAAAATATTATGATAATTGAATTTTTTTTTAAATAACTATTTATCCTAATAGCTTTTTAAAATATATAAAAATTAAATAATTGTTATAGCGTGTCCTGAAAATGGCACACTAATATAATATCACACGATTTTTTTTCTGACGAATATTTTTTAGAATATTTATTTATATAAAATAATTAAACACAATTTTTATAATGCTTTAAAAATAATTTTTAATTTTTTTTATAATAATAAGGTTGGAATTTTTAATTATACACAGAAAATATAACCTATCTTGAGATACCAGCTCTTATTTAAATGTTTTCATATAGATCTGTATAGATACAGACAGTGGCGTAGCTAGCCTCGAGGGGGCTCCGTATCAAAAATCTTGTAGGGGCCCTTATACCGGAAAAGGTGCTGGCAACAAAAATGTTTAGGGTATCATTTTTTTGCATTTACCAATTTTTATAATTTAATAAATAATATATGTTGGTGAATCTCACGAAATGTCCCCCGATGGTGTTACCCTGTGCTATTTAATAAATCTAAATGAGTTTGACCTACACTTCTATTGTGTTTTGATCTTTTATAATTAAGTAGATATTACAGCTCAGGTTCGAGATTTTTAACCGCAATTAATTATTTTTTACCATTTTTTAAAAGTCTAAAACCTATCCTCCGTGACTGTTACTCTTTCTAGGTTAACCTATATGTTTTCAAATATCTGAGGTAGTAAAAGCATACTAAAAATATCAGTTCACTAAGTAAATAAAACACATCCAAAGCAATCGAATCAAATATAAAATATTATTAAAAATTAAAAGAAATAATATTTAGAACCATTTATGAAAATTGATTCGAACCTCCGTGAATCTGTTTTTGCTTTAAATTTTATGCAACGGATTGCGCTTTAATCATTTTAAATAAGCAAAAACCTCTATTTACGACATTATAGATGCATGTGATTCCTGAAGGTCAGTTAGAATTTATATGCAGATGAGAGTGTTGCTATTGTATAATTCAAAAGCTTAAGTTCATTAATTTGCTATTTAAAAACTTATCCACCGAGAAGTTTAATAACTGAGTAAGTAGATTTTTTTTTATAAATATTTTATGTATATACAATTATATTTTTAAAAAATATTAAGGTGTCAAAAGATACAATAACTTATTTCAAATATCCAAAGTTAAAAAAAAAACCATACGAAATCCTATCCTCCGTGAAGCTATCTTTCGTAAAGCTCCAATATTCAAAATGTATGATTTCTAAGTAGTAAGTTTTTGTATTAGTGCAGAACCACTTATGTTATGTTATTACTAGACCTGGTGGCTTCCCATAAACCCCATTCTAGACTAACAGTGAAACAACCAAAAATAAAAAATTATCATTTTCACTTGGAGGACATTTCATCTATGCTCTTTATGTACAGGCAAATTTTAAAATTTGTACTGGTTTTAGATATTTACCGTTCTCCAACATCTTTTAAAAGGTTTCTATTTTAAAATAAAGGCAAGTCATTTGAAATAATTGTAACGCTAATGATTATTTCTAATTTGCTATTAATATAACCTCAGTATGCGGCGCAGAGCACAGAACAATATGCGCAGACAACGCATAGCGGAAAGGTGCGGGCAAAAACATTTCGTATGAGTTAACGGCCGCGTTGGAACAGGAGGGTACTCAGAAAAATTTTAATTTAATAAATCGAAGAATAAACAATTAAATAATAATATTATTAATTTATTTAATTTGATGCCTCAATTTTTTTAACATGTGGGTAATGTTTTTTGTTTACGCATGTCGAAGCCAATCGGGGGCCCCCCCTCGTCAGGGGCCCGTATCATTGCTACGGCTGATACCGCGGTAGCTAGGCCCCTGGAAACAGACAAGTAAAATTTAATGTATTGTACCTTACGCACACTTTAATTAATCTAATGCTCGTTTTAATCGTTTAAATATGCAATTTAAATGCATTTTTCCAAAGCTCATTTGTACATTTTTATATTTATTTATTGCGCTTAAATCATACCCAATGCATAATAACCGGAAAATTACTTGTATAAGTTTACCATTTTTAGAGACCCTGTATATATATTTTCTTATTAGGTATTTAAAAATGCAACCAAACATTTGTGTGTTTATAAACAATAACGTATAAAAACAATTATTAAATTAATGCATCATCATTTTAATACATTTTGCAAACAATACA